CGCAGTCCCCCCTGCAGACGGAGAACATTGCCCTCTGCGACTTCTTCAACCAGAGGCGGCTGACAGTCGGCGGGCCGGATGGCTTCGACGACATCGCCTATCTGCAGACGCACTTCACGGTGCGCACCGCGCCCGAGGGCAAGCGCCGGGGGGACTTCTCCGGCACGCGCCCGGTACGCTTCATGTCCGGCGGCGTGCGAGACCTCAGCTGCTTCCATGGGTACCCCTTCGCGCCTGACGGCTACCGCGGGGCGCCCCTCTTCAAGGGACAAGTGGGCGCCTTTTCGACCACCTTCTCGTCGCTGGTGGTCAGCGACGGTTTGGGCATCATGCTCAATGACGATCTCATGCTGCGCATGGTCCTCAGTGGGCATAGCCAGGTGTTGGTCTTCGATCAGGCCTCCCCGCCGCGCGTCGACCCGATGCTCATGTACCTGGACTCCGGGAAGGTGCACCTCCGGCCGGTCACGCCCTTCTCCAACGCCATCCTGTCGGACACCTTCGGCCTGATGGATCATCGTCTGCTGACGGCCACCGACCTGGACGCCGACGGCCAGGTGGACGCCGTGCTGGTGGCCAGCATGTCCTTCGTCCAGACGTCCAGCGCGCAGTCCCTCTTCTGGCTGAGCAATGTCGGCCGGCCGCAGAGCGGCTTCGGCCAGCTGGCCGACACGTCGCTGCTGTACCAGCTGCCGGCCGGCTTCCGCGCCGGGCAAATGGTCGTCGGGGACTTCGACGGCGACGGCCGTGCCTCGGACGTGGCCGTGGTGTCCGGCGCCGGGTCCACCGCCCCGGAGCAGGTGATCCTCCTGCTGACGTCGGACCTGGCGGCCCCGGTGCACCTGCTGCTGGCCGACATGGTCGTTGATGATTTGGCTTTGGCCTCGGTGGCCGTGGACCAGCGGCAGCCGAAGATCGCCCGCGCGCCCGGGCTCGCGGCCCCGGGCCATGACAGCCTGCTGGTGGCCCACGGCAGCCGGGTGTGGCTGGTGCCGGGGCCGGTGCGGCCGGCCGGCGGCCGGCCATCGGACCTCGGCCTGCTGGAGGCCCACGGGGCCGGCCTGTTGCCGGACTTCCCCACCCACTCGGACGTCTGGTGGTCGGTGGCCACCGGGGACTTCGACGGGGATGGCCATCTGGACGTGGCCCTGGCCCACGGGTCCATGGGCGGCCAGGTGCTGCTCCTGTCGCAGGTGGCCGCCTCGCCGAACTGCCTGTGCGGCCCGGGCGCCCGCTGCCTCCATGGGGGCTTCTTCGAGCCGCCCACCTGCCAGTGTCTGGACCCGAATGTGGACCCGGGCACGGACTTCGCCCCGTGCGAGTTCTGCCGCGAGGGATACTTCCGCCCTGATGGTGGTGCGTGCGGATCTGCGACCGGGCGGCGGCGGCGGCGGCGGCGGCTCCGGTTTGGGGCGCTGCTGCCGTCACTGGTGCCACGCACTCTTGACCGTTTGCTGACCGTCCCTTTCCCTTCTCCCTCCGGCGGGTGGCCATGTCCCCTGCATGTGGCCAACCATGCGGGCGCCCGCACCTGGCCCACTTACTCATGCAACCCCCCCCCCCCCCCTCCGGGGCCGTGCAAATGTGGACATGCATGCTGGCACGGCGCCCCGACCAACGATGCCGGGCCCATGGGCTATTTGGCCCGCCACATGCGTGCTCCCTCTCTGTCTCTCTCTCTCTCTCTCTCTATCTCTCTTTCTCTCACGCACACACTCACGCGCACACGCCGCCTGCCCCGCCCCCGGCTTTCTTCTCCGGTCTCCCCTGCCACGCGCATACACAGGCGCCTGCCAGGAGTGCGATGCATCCTGCCAGACGTGCGCCGGCCCCGGGCCCGGCGGGTGCACCTCCTGCCCCACAAGACACACCCTTCAGCAGGGGGCCTGTGTCCAGTCACCCGGCGCCGAGGTCCAGGCCACGCTGGTGCCCCCTTCGGGCGGGGTCTTCTACGAGGCCCTTCGGGGGGGGGCCTTCGCCACTCCGAGCCATATGCTGACCGCGGCCCTGCCCTTCTGGCTGCCCAGCGAGGGGGAAATAAGAGAAAGCATGGCCGAGGGCGTGTTGCGCACGGTGATGGAATTCAGCGCTGTCCCCACGCTCGAGGGGGTGTCCTTCTTCGAATCCAACTGGCACAGGGGTTCGGTGACCTTTCGCGAGGACCGCCTGCGCGGTGGGTACCATGTCGTGGAGGAGCCCTTCGCCGTGCCCACTCGCCACCCTGTGGCCAAGTATGACCAAAAGATCCCCATCAGCCTGGACAGCAGCGAGGTGAGCCTCTGCGGCCGGGACAATGCGGCCGGCCAGTGCCAGACGGTGTGGAAAAACTTCGACCAGGAGCCCCATCACCTGACCCTGGGACGGGTGGCCGGCCAGGCGTCCCGGCCGGGGGCCGACAGGCCGTCCCTCCACCCGGCCCACCTGGGCGGACGGCGGCGCACCAATGACACGCTGGTGTCCGTGCAGTGGGCGGCCATGGACAACGACTTCGGCATCGAGACCATGGTGGTGCTGAGCGCCCTGCCGCAGCCGGTGGAGTTCGCCCGGGCGGCGACCACCGACCGCCGGTGCCAGCTGCTCTGGTACCCTTTCCAGGCTTTCGACGTGGCCAGCCTGCCGGCCCTGCCGGGGGAGGTCCTCCTGGCGGACCTGCCGTGCGGGCAGCTGGTGCCGGTTCTGGCGCCGGCTGGCCAGCGGCCGGGGTTCCTGCTGGTGCCGGAG